TTGATTACTGGTATATTGAAAGAACTCTATTCATTATGTCACATAAATATAACTCATCAAATAATTAAACATAATCAGAAATTCAAGTCAGCATGACATTATCAAAAAGGAGGTTGGGAGAAGGGAGGAATGTCAGAAGTGAGAGATAGAGATTTGGAAAGAGAGAGAGAGAGCTGATTTACCCCAAATCTCAATAGTATTTGGGTTTTTGCCCTAGTGAACGAAAACAATTTTGTCACTGAAGGATGAGATGGTCCTATGTACAAATTCCTTTCTCCTAGAAAGCAATTAATATTATCTCACACTGAACAAAGGAAAAATTCTGTTCAAAATAATTTCTCATGGAACTTATTTTCTGTGGCCATTCTGCATAAGCAGGAAAGAACCCAACCCCAAATTCGTTTTTGATAATACCAGACACACCAAGGGGGCAATATAAGGTTCATGATGTGTGTAACCAGACTATCTACGGATAACAAGGCAGGCCTCCCAAGCAGCCTAAAATGTCTTAAGAGAACAGGGAAAGGAGCTCGGTTTGGTTTTTAAGGTGTTTGGTGGGTGGGGCTGGACTGAAGGGCCCTGTGCTTGGATCAGTCTCACGTGGTTTGAATTTTTCTCTGTTGCAAAAGAAAGGAGCCCTTTCTCATCAGCTGCCCTGATGTGGATTGTGAGGGGGAGTGAGAGAGATGAGGTTTAAAAGTCATCAACAAACATCAAAAAAAAGGAGTCAGATTCTTAAATCCTACACTCAATATAAATTGCATTAGGTAACCGGTGTGTGCACATTTGCCTCCTTCTCTTCCATATCAACTTATCTCTTAAACCTCCTCAAGATTCGTGCACTGCCCATTCACTCTAAGATACCCTCCCTGATATTTACAGTTGTTTCAAAGTGCTGTCTCATGGTTCATGCCTTTCACGTCTCACTCCTCTGCCAGGTCTTCCTTTTTCCTACTGTCCCACTCACGACCAGCTCCCTTACGCTTCCCTTCTATAACTCCTCATCTTTCCAAGATCAGTGCAAGACCCCACCTCGGTAAGTCTTCCCACAGTCATTTATGTCCTTGTTACTGTCTACATACGGATTCATTTCTGAATCCAAAATGCTCGTAATAATTACATGTTTACTTGTATACATTTACACAGATATACTCCAATATCTTTTGAGTAGTTGGTCTATGGCAGATGTGTTCTAGTTTCTGATAAGACAAAGACTCATCAGCATAGTTAGAGATGAGGTACAGGTGACCCGTCATAAGGGAGCAACTTTATAAACATCTTCTTAAATGGGATATATTGAACTTGAATTTTGAAAGATAGATATTTGTTTAAAATATTTATCTTTCAGTAGAAATATAAAACATAAACTTTGCATTTTAAAAAGTTACGTAGTTATAGCAAGTGCCTTGACCTGAATAATATATTGTTTCTATTGACAATAAAATTCATAAGCCTTTGAAGTTAAGGTAAGCTATATTTATGGCTTGAGATATAGAAAGAATAACTTAAAAATCATTGCACTTAAAAACAAATGTAGCTGGGGTATCACATGCAAATAAAAACCACAGAAGAGCTTCAGGTCACACATTCCACAGAGCATTGAATCTGTTTCAAGGGACCTTGCCCCTCCCCAGGAGCATGGAAGTCCCCACAGGTTATGCATTAAAGGAAAATATAACTAGAAGTTTAAATTTAAAAAGTGATTGGGAAATTTTGAAATAATTTTAATGAGGAATATAAAACATAACGTTAGAGATTTAACAAGTCTGTTAAACCATGAAAACTGGCCTCTACACATTCTTTGACAATGCCATTTTGTCTCTCTCAGATCTGAGAGCTATGCCTCTAAGTCAAAGGCTATTGAATTGGGGACATCTGGAGGGTCTCAGTGAAGAAACCTTCCTCCAATGTAATAGCAACTCTGCTGTGTATGGAGCTTACTACATTGCTACAGGCACTTACCTGAGCAGCGCAATCTTTTATTTTTAGCTCCTTTAGAGGTTTCAGTTGCATTTCTAAAAATAATATTTTCATTGCACATGCAATTTTGTGCATCATTGCCCCTAATTGCATCTTTAAAATGCATGCTGTGAATATTTAGCCCTAAAGCAGACTATGAACTTTTCAAAATGGAGCATGCTTTGATTGCTGTGACTTCTTAATTTTCTCCATGAAATGAATATCCCTTATGTATATACTATGAAATGAACAATGCTAGAGGAGGCTGTATCCCTCGGATGGCCCATTCAGTTCTAATTCTCCAAACATGCATATTCAACACAATTGAGGTCATGCTTATCTCTAATCCCAAGGCGATTCCCAGGCAGCAGACACAGAAGGGCTGTCAACATCGCTGGATCCGTGAGCTCCGGACTGCCGGAGAAGAATTTTTCTACGTTCTGCCATAGAACATATTTTAAAGATTCTTTATGAAGGATCTATTCCTGCAGTTGGTCATCTATATAACTCTTTTGGCATGTTCTACTGATTTGTTTCTGCTGACTTTCAAAGCCAGATAAAATGATATTTATTCCTCCATTCCAAAAGTTAAGCAACGGTCCCCACGTTAAATTCTTATAGCTCACCATGCATGGAGAGGTCTCACAAAGAGCAGTAAATAAAATGATAAATGAAATGATTATTTATTACATGTGATAAGTTGCTATTGAAAAAAGCAGGAGGATGAGATGCAGAGTAATGAGAGAGTCAGCAAGCTCTCTCGGAGGGATATGACAGAAATTTGGCGGTGAAGGATGGGTTGCCATGGTAAGGCAAGTTACGCGGAGCCCATTGGCCCACTGCTTGTTTTTGTAATGAAGGTTTGGTTCAGAACGTGGTCACACCCCTCATTCACGTGCTGTTTATGGCTGTTTCCTACTGTAGCTGCAACAGGGATTGTATGGCTTAACATTTTGAAAATCTTTACTATCCTCCTTTATAAAAAAATGTTTTCTGAACCCTGGTAGAAGGAGCCACCCAATGAATGGAGAACAGCTGCCACAGAGAGGCAATCGCAGGAGAATGACATCTCCTAGGTTAGGCATTCTCTAGGAGAATGACGCTAAAGTAGAATAAAACAGATAGAACATGGCGTGTTAGGGGAGGTGAAAGGAAGCCGGGGGTGAGAGGTGAGGTGGGAGGGTCTAGCAGGTGTCCTCAAACTATGGCCCACAGGCCACATGCAGCCCGCCTAGGACATTTATTAGGTCTGCCGCTGCCTGTCCTGCTTAGCAGCTGACTCGTCCCGGGCCTGCAGTCCGGCCCTCCAACGGTCTGAGGGACAGTGAACTGGCCCGCTGTTTAAAAAGTTTGAGGACCCCTGGTGGGAAGTGGGTTCTGCTGAGCCTCAGGGACCATGGTGAGCACTGTGGATTTTTCATTCTCAGGATTACAGGAAACCAGGGCCTTTGCAAGGGAAGTGACATGATCTAATTTATGTTGTTAAGAGATTTTGTACCTAATCCTTATGGAGTACTTACTACGTGTGCAGTTCTAAGCCTTATATATATACATATATACATATATATATATATATATATATATAGATTTAATTTTTACATATTCTGAAGTAAGCAAATTATCCCTGATTTAGAAAGAAAGCTATGCAGCTGGCTCAACACGATCCATTTACAGAGTGATGACAGCAGAGTTGGATCCAAACAGTCTTGATCCAGAGTCTGTGCTGTTAACCACTGGGCAGCACAGCCTTGCTGCTTTGCCTGTATGTACAAAGTGGATGGTGCGACTTGGGTGTGTGTGTTTGTGTTTACTGAAGCAAGAAAATGAATACCTCGGAGACCATGAAAATAGTAAAAATGTAGTAAGTGGCAGTGGGCTGTGAGACTAAACATCAGTATGACAAATGGCTGACTTAGAAGAAGGATTTTGAGAAAGTCGTCACCCACCTGAGCAGTGAAGTAGAAGGTAGATTGGAAAGCATACTCTAGATTTTAGGCCTGGAGATCCTGTCGTGGACACACACTTTACATAGTACCTTACTACTCTGCAGAAATCATAAATGGTGCACAGATAAATAAGGACACCTCCATTTGACCCTGTAATTCTGTTTTTCAGAAAGGAAACACAAATATGACTAAACCAAGATAAAAGACAATTTCCTGAGCCTTCATTTAATATTTTTCATTACAATCTACCAAAAATGCTAACCGTAATAATAGACCCTATTCTAGATTGAAATTTTTCTGAACATTAATTTTACATGACATAATGCATTCAATTTTCATATTTCAGTAATTGTAGTTGTCTTTTTCTGAGTACCATATCTGCCAAAGGTACTTTATCCCATAAAATTATAATTTATGTTCTTGGAACTAGATGATTTGCTTTCAGATGTAGATCAAAGAAATTATTTTCCCAGCATTAGAAGGAAGATGTAATAGGTTATATACATTTTTTAAAATATAGATGGCCTGCCATAGAATATACTGAATTAAAATAAACAAATAAGAATTAAATATATTGAGTGATTAGCCGAGTACCTTGGTGAAGTAAGCACAGTTGAAATTATCTTAATTAGGAGATACCGGTCCCTGATAACATTAACAAGGCTTTGAAAAGGTTGCATAGATCGTGGAACAACTGTAGACTAGAAAGCACAAGTGAAAAATAATCTAATCTCTTTCCTTGCAAGAGTTTATGTGTGTTTTTCATCTTTGAAAAGAGATAGCCTGTATTAATACAATTACTCAGCATTACAAATTTGAGTTTACAGGTTGCAACAGAGTTTCTCTCATGTTTAGAGACAATTATATCTGAGAGGTGACAATTAAAAATACCTGCAATGCGGTCTTAGCCTCCTCTTGTACCCACATCTAAATATACAGGACTCTTCCGTTTATATAAGTATTTTAATTTTATTTTATTTGGGGGGGTGGAGCTTATTTTTTTTTTAAGATAAGAACCATAATATTATTTATTTGGATACTCCAGGGCCACTGTGCTTACCATAGAGCAGCTGTTTAACAAATATCGGCGGCATGAAAAATATGGAATGCTTCACGAATTTGCATGTCATTCTTGCACCTGGGCCATGCCGATCTCTGTATCGTTCCAATTTTAGTGTCTGTGCTGCCGGAAGGAGCATCATTTATATAAATATTTTTAAATCTTCAGCCTAGTCAATACTATTTGTCTTGATTTTTAAAAGTTTTACACTATGCAATAGAATAAGACAAGAAAAATTACTATTAAGATATTTTTCTTAAAAATTAATAAACCTGTATACAATAGGCAGACATAATTAATGATCAGAATTTTTATATAGCAATTATATGAGGCATACATGACAAAAATTTAGACTATCATTCAGTAGAATTCTATTTCTCTATTTATATGCAAGTAAAATTGAATGCACTAAATGTAATCTAGTAGCTATTACGCTACACATTGTGTTTGATTATAAGTTTCGCATTTTATTTCTGTATTATAATTCTAAATCCTATAAAAGTTGTATACTGTGATGAAGGGCAGTTAAAAGATTATTTTAAAGTTAGTCTTGAGCAGAGACATTTAGTATTTTTTTATAACTGTAAAAGTAATGAAAGTCGAAAATTTGTTTTTGCTTTTTAAATACATACTATATATTAGTATTACTGATTATACAATTTAGTTTATCATTTATATGAGCTATTCTATCAGAAGATATTGTGTAGAATTTTTAGTTGTACTGAGTTGTACCAATAGAGTAACATTACAAAGAAAGGCATCTTGGATGAGAATGTTCATTTTTTCTCATCTAGGGGTACTCACAAACACTCACACACAGGCACATGCACACACATAGGTACACACAATTACGCATACATGTGCACACAGGTGCACTTGTAATTTAGTAACCTTACCAATGGCAGAACTGTAATAAAGAATTGCATACATGTGCACACAGGTGCACTTGTAATTTAGTGACCTTACCAATAGCAGAACTGTAATAAAGAATGGAAGAATTTAGAGTCCAAAGTTCAAAAGAGTACATTCTAAAAACTTTACCTCAAAAATAATACTGCCACAGTATAACATTATTTTTCTGTTTAATACTGCCAACTTATAATAACATCAAAAATCGTCTAAACATGTAAAGTAATTCTGATAATTTCTTTCTTTTCTCTTTTTTTGAGACAAAATCTCACTCTGTCACTCTGGCTAGGTGCTATGCATCATAGCTCATAGCATTTTCAAAGTCTTGGGCTCAAGCCATTCTCTTGCCTTAGTCTCCCAAGTGGCCAAGATTACAGGTACCTGTCACAATGCCTGGCCAGTTATTCTACTTTTAGTAGAAACGAGGTCTTGCTCTGGCTTAGGCTGGTCTCCAACTCCTGAGCTCAAGCCAGCCTCCCAACTTGGCCTCCCAGAGTGCTACAATTATAGGTATGAGCCAACACACCTGGCCAGTTCTGATAATTTCTTGACAGTGAAATTCTCCCACTATCAAAATTCTAGGTACTCTTTGTGAGATAATATTCTTTTTCTTCTTTCAGATGTAGAGAGTAGATGATTTGTATCTGGCACTATGTATGTATTTCTAAATCTAGAAAAGATTTTGATAACTTGGAAATAAAAATCTTACCTGTCTTTATTCTGCCACTTTCATTTTTTCTCTTGTTTATAATGAGTTAACGAATATCTCAATTCTGCTATCCTCAATTTTGAATCATTATTTTATTTGTTATTACTAGCTAATAAGTAATGTCTTACCCAGTATTTTAAAAAATGCTATATTTTTGTCTTCTCAATAACCCTTTAACAATTACAATTTTGTTTTGCACTCTTAAAAATTCATCTGTGTAGTCATAGGCTAGTGACATTTGGATCTTTTCATAAACAACTGTTATGGATGAGTTATACACACACACACACACACACACACGCATGCATCCCAATCACTTATTAAAAGAAACTATTCATGTTCCAATATAAAGAAACTATTCGTGTTCCATTCCTGCTTGGGATTGAAGCAGGACTGGTACTCAGATCGTAGTGACTATAAGTCTATCACTTTTTATCTTAATTTAGTCTTAGAGATCTAAGAAACTCAAAAGAATAATTATTTCAGTACTTCTGTCAAGTATGGGCAGCATTTTGAGCTACTTCTGGGAAGTTTCAGTCACAGTAGGTTTATAGAAAAACTCCTTTACCACGGCTTACAATTTTTTGACCTTCTTTGGAAAATGGAGCAAGAGGCCCACACTGATTACAAAATGTCTCTGTCCCATATTGAGTAATTTTGCTTTGCCCTTTTGATCCCTAACAGAATGAAAGAGCACTTTGTAAGCAGGGCAGCTCCTCAGCTTATATTAGCTGCAATACTACCTGTAGCTTATGGTAGAAATTCATTATATTAATTTATAATCCTTACTTATCCTTTTTTTGTATTGTTTTATTTTGTTTGAGACAGAGTCTCACTTTGTCGTCCTCAAAGTGCTATGATATCACAGCTCACAGCAACTTCAAACTCTTGGGCTCAAGCAATTCTTCTTGCCTCATCCTCCCAAGTAGCTGGGACCACAGGTGCCCGCCACAACACCCGACTGTTTTAGAGATGGGATCTTGCTATTGCTCAGGCTAATCTTTTATATATGTATATACACATATAAAAATAATGTCATGGTATGTGAGGTAATGGAAAATAGTTCAAATTATATATATATATATATGTTTATACACACACACACATATATATGTATAATTTGGAAAATATATATTTGAGCTATAATGGAAAATTATATAATGCTCAATGTATATATATACATACATATATATATATAATTTGAGCTATTTTTGAGAAGTCTACTTACATATTTTTAGCTATGTCAATAGTGCTCATTGCAGAGGTAGAAACTGATTTCATATTTGTATTCATATACAGTTTTTTAATGCTGTTTTAAAATTTCTTACCCCCATGTCCTGTAATATATACTAAAATGTCTTCTAATATGTATTTTTTACTATTATCCAACTCTCAGCTTAACTCCTCCTTTTTAATCAGTCTATCCATACTGTCAACACCTGTCTTTTTCTCTAGAGCCATTTTTTACTGGAGATTTACATCTTTCTGCTCTCCTGTGCCCTATAGTCTCTGGACCTTAACTATACAGCTTTTCTGATAGAACCTCCTTTCACAAACCTATTTCCCTGGATCTGATGTCTTCCTGTTTCATTGTTTATTCTCTCTTTCCTGAGGCTTTTTGCTAAGTATCCCACAGAACATGACTGGAGCTTCTGAATATGGATAGTTAGGAAGCTTCTCTGGAGTGGTCATCTTTGAGCTAAAGCTTGAGCCATGTAAAAACCTAGGAAGAGTGAATAGTTAGATAAAAAGCTCGTAAGAAAGCAATGTGTTGTTGGTGCTAGTTATAGAGCTTGGTGTCATTGGGAAACTGAGAGTCAAGATTTACTGAAGCAGGATGAAAGCCATCTAGTGTTTTGTAGTATACAATAAAAATTTTAGAATTAATTTTTGTTTCACTAAGAAGTGAAGTTTTGATAAGAGACATCTTATAATGTAGAAAATGATGAGGTAGGACTTCATATGGTCTATGTTTCTTCTTGGAAATGAAAAGAAAGCTACTAAAATAGATAGAAAAAATAATTAGATAAATTGCAAGCCTTTAGACTAAGAGGGTAGAAAATTTTAGTAAAAAGGTCATGTAAGATGATGGCTGTAAAAGATCTGTCTAAAGAACACATATGCCCAGGTTAGGGAATACAAATTTGGTGGAGAAGTGAATGCAAACACAGAAAATAATTTCAAACGTTATGACAGTGAATTAAAAGGCAAAGAAAAAATCTCATTTGATGAAGAAGTACAGTCAAGAGGGGTTTGGGAATGCTGATATGAAGAGCACTGGGTGGTAAGTAGGAGAGAAGCAAGGAGTAGAAAGAGGCTGAAGGTAGGGGAGAAAATGCGAGAAGATGCGAGCCTCGTGTCTGGACAAGATTCCTAGTAAAGACTGAAGCTCAGCCTGACAAGGGATGAGGAATTCTGCATACTGATTAAAGAAATTTCGAGGAAGGGAAGAGGGAGTAGGAAACAAATCTCCATCAGGGAAGGGGTGAGGTCAACTAACGTTTCCTACTCATTTCCTACTCATAAACATGGGTGTCTATTTTCTGGGGACATGCTAGTTTCTATGGATATAATGATCAGGTGCATCTTGTGTTCTCAAACTGTGCTCACAATTAGTAAGGAAGGTGGAATATTAAATCAATATTTCATGGCAATGGAAACATCTACAAGACAACATGGGTAACCAGGAGGGGAGTAACTCTTTGGACTAAGGTCAAAAGCTAAGGGATAGTGATTCACTAATGTCTTAAAGAATAAGTGTGCACCTACTAGTAGACACAGACAGAAGTGAAGGGGGAAATTCTTGAAATATGTAATGCTTTTAAAAAAAACAAAACAAAACAAAACAAATCAATGTTAGATGTTAGAAAGCACAAGTTTCTCAGTATGGGAGGCCTGCAAGACGTTGAGAAAGTGAGAGCACAAAGCAAGGACTAGATCATCCACTATCATGAGTGTATGCTTTAGCGTTTAGGTGTTATCATAGATAATATTCGATAATAGGATCAAATTTTTGATTTACAAATATTCCTGTGATCAAAACAGTGGGAGGAAATTAATTTATAGCTTTCATATGAAAGCTATAACCTAATTACAGCTTAAGAATATGGGGAGGGGGAGAAGGGAAGGGGAGGGGGGTGGATGGCTAGAGGAAGGGTGATAGGTGGAATCTCCTCTATGGTTTAACTTACAAGGGTACAAGTGAATCTTTCTAAAAGTAGAATATAAATGTCTCAATACAATAACTAAGAAAATGACATGAAGGTTATGTTAATTAGTTTGATGAAAATATATCAAATTGTATATGAAAATACCACACTGTACCCTATGATTGCATTAACGTACACAGCTATGATTTAATAATAATAAAAAAAACTGGGAGGACTTTCAGGGGTGAGTAGGAAGGGGCTGAAGCCAAAATTATAACACTATGGGAATATTTTAAAATAGAATAATTACACAGGATCAGAGAGGGGGAGAAAAGTGTTTGAGTAAGGTTAAAAAAAAGTGTTACACTTGGG